TGTCCAGAAGCAAGGCAACCAAACTTTTGTTTTAGAATAGTTTTAGATTTACAGAAAGGTTGCACAGATGGCGCAGGGAGTGCCCCTACACTCCACACCCGTTTCCTCATTGTTAACATCTAGCATTAGGGTAGTACCTTCACCACAGTAAAGAAACTGATCTTGATACATTGCCATTAACTAAAGTCCATACTTTATTCGGATTTCCTGTTTTTTGTTTTGTTTTTGAGACAGGTCTTGCTCTGTCACCCAAGCTGGAGTACAGTGCCACAATCACGGCTCACTGCAGCCTACCTCCCAGGCTCAAGTGATCCTCCTTCCTCAGCTTCCTGAGTAGCTGGGATTATAGGTACACACTACCATGCGCAGCTCATTTATTTTTGCACTTTTTGTAGAGACGAGGTCTCCCTGTGTTGCCCAGGCTGGTCTTGAACTCCTGGGCTCAGGCAATCCTCCCATACTGCTGGGGTTCCAGGCATGAGCCACCCGCCTGGCCAGGTTTTACCTAATGCCTTTGCTTAGGCATCCCATCCCACATTACATTTAGTCATCATATCTCCTTAGGTTTCTCTTGGCTGTGACATTTGCTCAGACTTCCTTTGTTTTTGATGACCTTGGCAGTTTTGAGGAACAGTGGTCAAGTCTTTCATAGAATGTTCCTCAACCAGGACTTGTCTGATGGTTAGACTGGGGTTAGGGGTTTGTGGAGGGAGACCACAGTGGTAAAATATTCTAATCACATCATATCAAGGCAACAGACTATCAGAATGACTTACCATTGGTGATGTTGACCTTGATCATCTGCTTAGATTGTGTTCGTAGGGTTTCTACACCTCAAGGTGACTCTTTCCCCACTCCCTCTCTAGACTGTCCTTTTTGGAAGGCAGTCAGTGTGCTCAGCCCACCTTTAAGGAATGGGGAATTAATTAATTAAGCTCCACCTCCTTGATTTGGTATCTAATAAATTACTTGGAATTTGTCTTCACAAGAGATTTGCCTTTTATCTTCCATCTATGTATTAAGCCATTTACTTTTATCAGTGTCAAACAGAATACTTTTATACTTTGGACTATAATCCAATACTACTTTAATTATTTTGTTGCTCAAATTGTTCCAGCTTTGGGCACTGGGAGTCTCAGTTGGTGCCTGTATGCCTTTGACACACCATCATCATTGTGCGTGTGGGTGTTTGTTTTTTTGGAACACTTCGTCATTTCCTGGCAATACAAGATATTCCGTGCTCATCTTGTATATTTCCTGCCCCAGTCCTAGAATCAGCCATTTTTCCAAGAAGCCCTGGTTCCTCCTATAGAGAATGATATTAGAAACCAAGATCTGGGTACCCTGGGTGTTCATTGCTACTGAAGTGTCAGTTGCTCCTAGGCCAAGGTGGTTTTTAATGAAAGAAACCTCTTTTAAGGTTGCTTTTGGTGGTGAGGGACGTGAAAGGTTGGCTCAAAAGTTGCAATAAACTGAGTTGTGATATGGACCAGCCACCTAGGTGGTTCAAGTCTCCCTCCCCAGGGAGGGAGTACCAATTCCATTCAGTATTAGTTTCGTAAAAACCTTCAGTGGGCCAGGCACAGTGGCTCATGCCTGTAATCCCAGAACTTTGGGAGGCTGAGGTGGGTGGATCACCTGAGGCCAGGAGTTCAAGACCAGCCTGGCCAACATGGCAAAACCCCATCTTTGCTAGAAATACAAAACATTACCTGGGTGTGGTGGCGGGTGCCTATAATCCCAGCTACTTAGGAGGCTGAGGCAAGAGAATTGCTTGAATCCAGGAGGCGGAGTTTGCAGTGAGCTGAGATTGCACCACTGCACTCCAGCCTGAGCAACAAGAGCAAAACTCCATCTCAGAAAAGAGACCCTTTTCTGAGTCTCCCTTCTCTTGTGAGACCAGTGTAAAAGGCATAATCATCAGTTATTGCAGGATTACTTTGGCTAAGCACCATCTCTCATTTTTCCAACAACCCTGCAAAACAAGGGTATGATCTCTATTCTATTAGTGAGGAAACTCAGCTCTGTGATAGGAAACCTGCCTGAGTCATATGGCTACCAAATTGTGGAACTTGACTTAAACCTAAAACTGTCTCCAAAAGCTTTTAAAAAATTAGTATCTTGGCCTCACCCCCAGAAATGCTTCACTCTCTGTTTTGGAGTGAGCCTCAGCCATCCACATGATTTTTTTTTTTATTTTTTTTTATTTTGAGACAGAGTCTTGTTCTGTTGCCAGGCTGGAGTGCAGGGGTGCGATCTCAGTTCACTGCAACCTCTGCCTCCCTGGCTCAAGTGATTTTCCTGCCTCAGCCTCTCGACTAGCTGGGATTACAGGCATGTGCCACCATGCCTGACTAATTTTTGTATTTTTAGTAGAGATGGGGTTTCACCATGTTGGCCAGGCTGGTCTTGAACTCCTGACCTTGTGATCCGCCCACTTCAGCCTCCCAAAGTGCTGGGATTACAGGTGTGAGCCACCGCACCCGGCCTCATCAGCATGTTTTAAAAGCTTCCTGGGTAATTCTGCTGTGCAGCCAGAGTTGCGAATTGCTCTGTGCTATGCTAAAATATGGGCCTCAGTTTCCCCATATGTAAAATAAAGGTATTGGGCAATATGTCCCTTAATTCCATTTCCAGTACTCAGTGGTTCTGAGGATTTGTGGCTTGACATTCTTATAGCTTTGTATACACGCACGCGCGCGCGCACACACACGCACACCCCTAGGTGTGTCAGAGTCAGGACTGAGGATATGAGGACCTTTGTCTAGGATGGGCCCCAGCCACTGGCTGCCAACCTCTGCAGGCACAACTCCTGTGGATGTTAGCCTCGCAGAAGAGTCAGCTACTTCTGTTTCTGCCCTAATGGGCATGATTGGAAATTTTCCCCAAGCAACTGGAAAATAATCCTAAAATAACTAAAGTGGAAAAGCAGATTAGCTCTGAATTGTCCAGGCTAACAATGAATGGTAAAAACAAAACCACTTATGGTGCACTTAGCTTTGGATTTTTATGTATTTATTTGGAGGGGAAGAGGGGAGTGTGGTAGCTGCATAATTCTCTCCCTAAGCATATTCTGTCCCAGCTGTTAGTGAAATAAGTTGGTCTTTCCAAAAGTCACCCTGGCTGAAGGTAGACAGGAAGAGGGTCTGAAGACTGGCGAGACCATTTCCTGGATTACATCAGTTTACCATGAAACTCACCCTCTTGCAAGCCTCTGGGGGACTGGGAAAGATCCCCAGGGCACTGGTGCTAGAGAAGTATCTTCTGGAAGTAAGGAGTCCTGGGATTGTTCTGCCTACCTCCCTCACTCTAGACTGGAAACAGCCAGCTCAGAAAGGGGAAGTGGCTTGCTCAGGGACACAGAGCAAACCAGTGTCAGAACTAGGAAGGACACAAGTGTCTCACCCACAGCCCAGTGCTCTTACCACTGCCCACTGTTGTTTTGGCAGGGGGGTTCCATGGGGGAATACTAACTCTTCAAAGAAAATTGGACTCTCACAATGGCATGAGCCCAGCAGTTTGTACAACTGATGGAAGAGGATATTTCTGCTGAGAGTCCCTAATGCATTACAGTGAGGGATGAAGAATGGAGGAAGAACACACGCACGTGCACACACACACACACACACACACACACACACAGCTGACTCAGCAAGGCACAGACCAGGCTTGTTCCCAGGGAGGAGGGAGGAAGAGTAAGGACACTGACTGAGCCTGGGAAGCTTTGTTGGTGGCTAATCAGGGAAGGCTTTCAGGAGCAGTGGCAGATGGAGGGCCCTACCATGGGCATCAATGTGAACTGCTCCATTGTAGGAACCCCGAATAGCCCCCGCCATGAGTGTCCTGGAAGTGGACAAACGTAGCCCCGGCACTGGCACTTGCTTCCCCGTGATCCTTCACTGCTCTCCACCTGGCTCATCCTCTCATTGAGGCTGAGCCCTGAAGTCTGGAGCTGCTCGTCAGGATGCCTTTCTTTGTCTCAAGGTGCCCCACATCCTGCCCTGTTGCCCTTCTGATTCATGGAGACATCTATGAACACTGACATCAGGAATGCTAGGGGCTTTGAGACATTCATCCTCAGGGCCAGGAGGCAGGTAGATGGGGTCTGGGGAAGGAAATGTTATCAGAAAGAGGTCCCAAGCCAGACCCTAAGAAAAGGTTCTTGGACCTCAGGCAAGAATCAGGGGCAAGTCCACAGAGTAAAGTGAAAGCAAGTATATTAGGAAAAGTAAGGGGATAAAGAACAGCTACTCCATAGGCAGAGCAGCGGCATGGGCTGCTCCAATGAATATACTTACAGTTGTTTCTTGATCATATACTAAACAAGAGGTGGCTTATTCATGAGTTTTCTGGGAAAAAGGTAGGCAATTTCTGGAACTAAGGGTCCGCCACTTTTGAGACTATATAGGGTAACTTCTGGATGTGCCATGGCATTTGTAAACTGTCATGGCGCTGGTGGGAGTGTCTTTTAGCATGCTAACACATCCTCACATAATGAGCAGTAAGGATGACCAGAGATCACTTGCATTGCCATGGGTGGGTTTGGGCCGGCTTCTTTACCACATCCTGTTTTATCAGCGGAGTCTCTGTGACCTGTATCTTGTGCTGACCTGTCTCATCCTGTGACTGAGAATGCCTAACCTCCTGGGAATGCAGGCCAGCAGGTCTCAGCTGCCCCAGCCCCTATTCAAGATGTAGTTGCTCTGGGGCTGTAAGGAAGTTGCTCTGGGGCTGTAAGGAAGTTACTCTGGAGCTGTAAGGAAGTTGCTCTGAAGCTGTAAGGAAGTTGCTCTGGAGCTGTAAGGAAATCAGGACACGCCGCCTCTGACGGAAGTACCACATCTGACGGAAGTACCACATCTGACGGAAGTACCACATCTGAAGGAAGTACCACATACTGACTGCATACTGTATAGCAGGCACTCTTTGATACCACCTGTGCAGCCTTTTCTTTTTTTTTTTTTGAGACGGAATTTCGCTCTTGTGACCCAGGCTGGAGTGCAATGGCGCGATCTCGGCTCACCACAACCTCCGCCTCCTGGGTTCAAGCAATTCTCCTGCCTCAGCCTCCTGAGTAGCTGGGATTACAGGCACGCGCCACCATGCCCAGCTAATTTTCTGTATTTTTAGTAGAGACGGGGTTTCATCATGTTGACCAGGATGGTCTCGATCTCTTGACCTCATGATCCACCCGCCTCGGCCTCCCAAAGTGCTGGCTGTGCAGCCTTTTCAACGATCCTTTGAGGCACAGGGTTGGTGGTGAATGCTTTCAACTTCAATTAACAGCAAGCCTGGCTATGGTAGCCTTAGCCATAAGGATGCTATTGTTTATCTAGCGAGAAGTCTCGAGGTTGGGCTCCAGGCTAGTTTAGCAGCTCTTTGATGCCTTCGGTTCCCACACTACTCCGCCTGGCTCCTCTCTACCCTTCTGTTCCTCCATCTTCAAGGCGTTGGCTTTTGGTCCTCAGTTTCTCACCTTATGGTTGCACAATGGCAGCTGCAGCTCCAGACACCTCACTCATTCAAAAGGCAGGAGGTCACAGGCAAATGGCTTTCTCCTCCGAGGCTCTGCATTATTGTTAGGGAACACATGTCGTTCTAATGCTTTGTTGGCCACCCCGATGTGACGAAAGCCAGGAAAGGGGGTGAATGGCCAAGGAGAGCAGGACGGTCATGATCAGCTCTGACCAAATAGAATACCTCTCCTGAGTCAGGACATATTGCCACCAGGGCCAGAATCAGGGTCTGTTAGCAAGGACAGGGAGAGAGGACTGGTTCTTGGGGAGCTGACTCAGTAACTCTCACAGGCAGAAACTATGATGATCCCATTTCACCGAAAAAGAAGCTGCCCAAGAGAGCTCACATAGCTTCAAGTGGCCAACTAAGGACTGAAGTTCAGTTGGAAAGCTCAGCTCCAGAGCATATGGGCGGAAGGGTCCAAGAAAGGGTGCAAGGCCCAACACTCTAGACCTGCCACTTGAATACCTATCCCCTTTCCTGTCTCCTTACCAACCTGCTCCTCACACCATTTCTCATCTGCACAGAGGGTGTGGTATTCTGAGCCTCAGGGAAGGAGCTGTTGCAGGTATCTAAAATCCCTAGCCTGGTGCCTGGCATGGAGTACATGCTTCTTTAACACCAGCAGGTTGGTTGGGCTAGAGGTTATGTATTGTAGTGGTCACAACATGGCCTGAAGTCACATGGTTTGCATTCTTTTTCTGGCTCTGACATTAACAAGTGATGTGACCTCAGGAGGTCCTTTTACTTCTCTGGGTCTTAGTTTCTTTGGCTGTAGAGTGAGGGGCTGGACCACATCACTGGCTTTGAAACTTTCCCACTGAGCTATGTGTATTCATCAGCAGTGCCTCATGGAAGAGAGTAGGGGGATACCCAAAGGTGGAGGCCTCATGTCCATATACCCCATGGCTATATCATTACCTACTCTACGTAACAAACCAACCCAACATCAGTGGTTTACCACAGTCACTATTTTATTTGCTCACAAATCTGTGGGCCAGCAATTTGGGCTGGATTCAGCTGAGTGGTTCTTCTGCTGGTCTTTTCTGGGGTCAGTCATGTGGCTGCAATCATCTGGCAGCTTGACTAGAGGTGGATGGTCTATGATAGCCTCACTTGTGCCTTGTGGTAGGTGCTGGCTGTTGGCTGGGCCACACAACTCCAGCAGGCTAGCTCAGGCTTCTTTACGTGACAGCACAGTCCAAAGGGTGACATGGAAGCTGCATGCCTCTTGAAGCCCAAGCTCAGAACTTCACAGTGTCTCTTCTGCTGCATTTTTTTTTTTTGTCAGTGCCACTCCCAAGGTCACCCTGTTTTCACCAGGAGGTGAAAATAGACTCCATCTCTCAATAGGGGTAGCAGCAAAGACTTTGTGGCTCTTTTTAATCTACTATGGAGATGAAGGCTCTTTGAGTCCTTTTTCCTGTCTCTTTGGTCCAGCTGCAAGCATAATAATAATCCTATTGGTAGTTGTCATTTATTTGTCTAATGACATTATGCACTTAACATCATAGCCTGTGATTTGGATCAGTAAATGAGAGCAATCTCTAATAATAATATAAATGATAATCAGGATTATAAGTTATTAAGTACATTCTCTGTGCAAGGCATTTTATACACATGATCATTGATTCTCACAGTGATCCTGAATGATAGATATTATTGTCCTCATGTTCAGATGAGGAAATTGAGACCCCAAGAAGTAAAAGTAACTTGCCTACAGCTGGTGAGGGACAGAGGTAGTATTTGTGTTTCACTGTGTCTCTAAACAGCTGGCTGCAGGGGGCAGAAAGGGGGAAGTAAGGTGGGCTTTGAGACTTTTCATATGAAACCCCCAAAAGTGTTGGAGAAAGAGCTCTGGGTGGTCCCTCAGCTCTACACCCTGCTGTGTACTCACCTGCAACAGCCATCGTGGACAACATCCCCTTGGAGTTTGACCTAAGGACACCTGATCAGGGAGTGGGCAGGTGGGTAACGTGGATATAAACAGCTCATGAAGATGGTCTGCTGCGTGATACTGACTTGGGCTAAACTCTGCCAGGTTTAAGCTGAGATAATTCATAATCTAAAGTGTTCTTCAGGTGTCACTGTGGCACAGTGATGCTGTAATTGAGGTGCTATCTGTGAATACCTTCTAGAAGGGTCTCTGTGACTAGCTCAGCAGCTAAACTTCCCCAGAAGGGAACAGAACAGACCCTCTTATTCCAGTTGGCCAAGGTAGACCACTGACCCTGGCTCTGCCCATAGCAGGTACCTATCAGTGTCATCCTCATCCATGGTCACCTGGGCAGGAAGCAACAGTGGACTCCTGGAGCCAGGCCAAACTCAGAGTCCCTCCCTGTGCTACTGTCTGTTGTGAACTCAGAGCCTCCAGCCTGCTTTTCAGTCAGAAGACAAGAGCCACATGAGAGCCCTGTGGCCATGCTGAAAGGGTGAGTGATGGGTTCAGAGCTGCAGAGTCCAACCTCGGGGGCTTTCCATTCCTGTTGACACCCATCCCCAGCGAGTGGATAACACAGCACAACAGCGAGAGGGGAGAGATACTGCACCATGTGGTAGGGATGCCTGGGCCTAGTCCTGCTCTGGCAGTTGCCATCTGTGTGTCTCTGGGGAGGACTGAGTGATACGACATGGAAGGCGCCTGGCCCAATGTGCACACACTAGCCACCATTTTAACTTCTGGCTCCCTACTGTGGACTTGAACCGCTCTCTCTTTAGTTTATCGTCTTGTATTTGCCTCCTTTTGCCCTGGATCTGTAAGTTTCATCTCTTCTGGGGTCAGGTAATCCCTTCTGATTCTTTTTCACAATAAACACACATGGTGGACAGACCCCCAGGTCTAGGTGAAGCTGGAAACTGGGAGACAGAAGGGCAAAACCAGCTGCGGGTGGGGTGAGTGGAGCGTGGTCCTCAGTGAGCGTCCCGTTGGGTGCTTTCCTCTGCAACTTCTCCATACGGCTTCCAACCAGAGAGGCAGGGCCTTGGTTTCATTCTTTCTTTCTGCTGGGTGGTGGCAGGTGTTGCCACTCCCATTTACGGACTAGAACCCGGAGGCTCAGGGAAACCATACAATCACCCAGAGTCCCAGGGCTGATACCTGGCCACTCAGGGCTGTCTGGGAGCCCAGGAAGAAATATAGTTTGTGGGCCTGCCCCCAGCTGGAGGAGCTCCCTCTGAGGCTCCTGCTTTTTTTTCTTTCTCTCTTGGAATGTGAGGATGGAGAACAGGGTCCATGTCTGAACAAAGTGATAAAACCTAGAAATAGCTATGGGCTGGGTGAAAGAGCCGATTCGGTGCAGAGCACCATCGAAGGTCAGCCTAGTTGAAGCCAGCAACCAGAATCCGTCATGCCAGTCACCCTAGGGACAGATCAGTGGGGACTGGGGAGGAGGGGTCAAAAGAGTAAGGGGAGAAAGTAACCATGAGTAGAGTAAAAAATACGTGTTGTACTGTGACCCTGGGCTGTGGAGATCTGCACCCTCCAACCATAGGCAAGGGTCTTCTATTTTATTTTCTTCTCTTTCATTCTGGAGAAAGAAATGTTGGGTGGCATTCACACTAATGGATCATGACCTGCAGTTTGAAAAACACTGGCCTTCCTTCCTGTGCCATTCCTGACACCTAAAGATGGGGCAGCCCTGCCATGTACCTGTGCTTCTAACCAGTGACCTGGGTGTGTGTCCCCAACAGGTGCACCACAAAGAGAGCACTTTCCCAGTGTGGACAGAAATCTGCAGTTTGGTTGCAAGTTAAGAGGCTCCAGCTTCAGCTCCTGCCCTGGCTTGGAGTCAGGGGTCAGAATTTGCCTTCCCAGGAGTACCACTGACTTCTGCTCTGCCTTTCTTTCCATGTTATGCTCAGCAGGGAGGCCCTGTGGGCACCCCAGAGTTCCCTTGCTGCAGATACACACACACACAGACACACACACACAAAACACACACACACACTGTCAACCTTAAATAATGACATTCAGGCCGGGCGCCGTGGCTCATGCCTGTAATCCCAACACTATGGGAGTAGCCAAGGTGGGCGAGTCACTTGAGATCAGGAGTTGGAGACCAGCCTGGCCAACATGGTGAATGGCCAACATGGTGAAGCCCCATCTCCACAAAAATACAACAATTAGCCAGGTGTGGTAGTGCATGCCTGTAATCCCAGCTGCTCAGAATGCTGAGGCAGGAGAATCACTTGAACCCTGGAGGCAGAGGGTGCAGTGAACTGAGAGCATGCTATTGCACTTCAGCCTCAGTGACAAAGTGAGACTCTGTCTCAAAAAAAAAAAAGAAAAGAAAAATGACATTTAGAAAATGTGATTAGGTATGGTGTTTATGCTAGCACAAAGCTTGAGGGTGGCCACCCAGGAGACACCGACTGTAAATGAACAAGGCCAGCATTCAAGGTGAAGTTACAGTTTTACTTAACCAGGCAGAGACAGAGAAGTTTTAGCAGGATGACATTCTCCACATGAGACTACTGCCTGCCCCAGTGATTTGATGGGTTACAGATTGCTATATCCTGGGAAGATTACTTATTATTCCATTTAGCCTAACGCCTCCTTACGTATTTTAAATTCTGCCTAACTGTTCCTCTAGTTGTAGTGAACTGTAACCTAGCTGGAGGTGTAAACAGACTGTAAACCACCCTTGCAGCAGTCACTGAGTCTTGGCTAGTCAGAGGTGGCAACTGGTCAAACGGTGTTCCAATAAGGCAGATGTAGCTGGAACCAATCCAGCTGATTGTGTATCTCACTTCCATTTTTGTGTCCATTGCTTTCCTTTTTCTGTCCATAAATCTTCCACTACATGGCTATGCCGGAGTCTCTCTGAACCTAATCTGGTTCAGGACTTGCCTGATTTGTGAATTATTCTTTGCCCAATTAAATTTTGTTCAATTTAATTGTTCTAAGGTTTTTCTTTTAATGCTCTGTAAGAAGGGGAGTGTTCTGAGGGAGTCTTATCTCTGCTGCTGTTTGGTCTTAAATATTTACAGGAAACCAACTGCAGAAGTTCCAGTTGCCTGCAGCGTGACTTGGGCAGCGAAGCCACATTCCTCCCAAGGCTCTGAATAATGTGAAGTTCCAACAGCTTTAAGTCCCAATTATTTTAAGTGGCAATGATTTAATTTCACAACACTCACCTACACACACACACACACACACACACACACTCACAGTGTTCTGATACCAGCTGGGTGTCCAACAATTTGGACACTACCCAGAGTTAGTGCAGACCCCGTGGGCTGCTCCTCCTTCGGATGCCAGCCACGAGTGGGCTTCCCAGGCTACCTGCACTCCTGTCCAATTTGGCTTCAAATTCAGGAGTTCCCATGATCCTCAGTCAAGTTTGATAATCCGATAGGACAACACAAAGACTCACAAAGTGTTGTACTTCCAATTACAGTTTTGTACAAAGGATACAACACAGGAACCACCAAATGGAAAAGGCACATAGGATGAGGTCTGAGGCGGTGCAGCTGCAGAGTCTTCATCACTTCTCCTCCTATTAGCAGGGGGGCCCATACGGGTCTGCAGCGTCCTCAATTCTTGACTCCTCAGAAGAAAGAATTCAACCAAGGGGGCGTAAGGCAGAGTAAGAGACTGAGGCAAGTTTTTGAGCAGGAGTGAAAGTTTATTAAACCTTTGGAGCAGGAACAAAAGGAAGGAAAGTACACTTGGAAGAGGGCCAGGCGGGCGGCTTGAGATCAAGTGCACGGTTTGACTTTTGCCTTAGGGTTTTCAGTGTTGGCATGCTTCCAGAGTCTTGCATCCCTTCTGTCCTGCGTCTTGGAGTGGGCTTCTTCCCTTGGGGTGGGTTGTCCGTGTGCGCAGTGGTCTGCCAGCGCCTGGGAGGGGCCACATGCGCAGTGTATTTACTGGAGTTGTGCGCATGCTCAATGGAGGCATTCTTCCCTTACCAGTCCAGTGTTTCTAGAATAAGGTCCTATACCAGTTACACTCTGCCCTTTTGCCTCTTAGGGCTCATGCTTGAGCCCACTGGCGCAGCTTGTGAGATGTTATCGAGAAGATGCTGATCATGGGTTTTCAGGTTTTTTCTATTGGGAGACCGTTTCCCTGGCGTGCTAGCCGCAACTAATTATTATTTTAGAGAGATAGTTAATAACCACCTGCCCATCATCTGATGGTTGCCTGACATTCCTGGTAGGGGAAGGGGGACTCTCCTGCACTGCTCCTGTCCGACTACCTACTGTAACATTTCCCCCTCAAGAGTCCAAGCCCCCAGTTCCTTGGGGAAAATGGATGGTCGGTCTTCTGTAACTGCTTCTTGCAGTTAGAGAGAGGGACAGTGGGGATGGTTCTGTGGGTCTTGGCCTCTGCTAGCCGTCAGGACAGGTGGCTCCGTGGGTTGGTGAAAGCAGTATCCAAGCAAGTCCAAGGGAGATGGGCAGGATTTTGCCTCTGTCATGTCCTACTTGATGGGAAGTCTATGGGTCTCCTGCGGAAGGATGACCTTGTGTGTGTGTGTGTGTGTGTGTGTGTGTGTGTGTGAGAGAGAGAGAGAGAGAGAGAGAGAGAGAGAGAGAGAGACAGAGACAGACAGAGACAGAGACAGACAGAGAGACTTGCTCTGTCACCCAGGCTGGAGTGCAGTGGTGCAATCTTGGCTCACTGCAACCTCTGCCTCCCAGATTCAAGCTATTCTCCTGCCTCAGCCTCCTGAGTAGTTGGGATTACAGGTGTGTACCACTATACCTGACTAATTTTTATATTTTTAGTAGAAACAGGGTTTCACTGTGTTGGCCAGGCTGGTCTTGAACTCCTGACCTCAGGTGACCCACCCACCTCGGCCTCCCAAAGTGCTGGGATTATAGGCATGAGCCACTGTGCCCTGCCGGAAGAGTGACCCTTGAATATTGAAGAGACAGCATCTCTCACTGAAGATCACCTGGAGACAAATCAGGTTACTAGATTTAGAAGAATGTCAAAACAAAATTAGGGGGTGAGGCAGCTCCAGAACATCCCAAGACTGGTGACACATCCAGGTAGCTAACACTCGTAGAAGCTGGGTACATCTTCCTCCCAGCACATCTGTGTTCACCAGCCAGAACGTCCGAGGTTTCATTTCAGAGGCGTGTTTGATAAATCTTTGGCCATGTGATTGAACTCAGTCTCCAGTACCTGTCCCCCTTCTGGAGGTCACAGGTGGGGCCGAAGTTTCCAACCCTCTAAGCAGGTATTTAGTCTTTCTGTGGCCAGCCCCTCCCTTGAATCTAAGGTTCCACCGGGAGTTCCTGTTTAATAGCAGAAACTCAGGTAAGGTCAAAAGGGGTTTATTATGAACAATGAAAGACACTCTAATCTTTCAGGAAATTCCAAGAGTTTTTGAAGTTCTGTGCCAGGACTGGGTAAAAAGACTGGCTATGTGTTTCTGTCTTACTATACCACACTCACTCACACACACACACTAAGAGTCCCTCACACACTGCTCTTTCCCATGGGCCTGCTGTGCAAGGAGACAGCTCGACCTTGAACCTCCAGAGGCAAAGCAACAGAATTTATTTGAAAGACACCATGTCTTGGGGTCAGTTCAACTTCCGGTGAATGCACTGGTTCAGTGATGCTGCAGCTCCAGGTAGGGTGAGGATTTGGCAGGAGCTGAGGCTTGTCTCTGAGCCTCTGAGCAGAGAGCCAGGGCTGGCAGAGGCATCTAGAGGTAAGCTGGTGTCCAGCAGGACCACCTTCCATGCAGGCAACACCCCCACCCCTGCCTTCCTCGCCTTTCCACCCCCAGTGAAGCAGTGTCATTTGTCTGGGGTAATACCTGAGTTCGTTGCCTCACACCAAGGAAATAAAGGACATGGAGACACAAGGAATGAGGTTAAGAGTGGAGATTTAATAGGCAAAAGAAAGAGGAAAGCTCTCTCCTACAGAGAGAGGGGGTCCTGAACTGGTCTTCCAGTCCATGGTGAAGTGCAGGAGGTTTTATAGACGAGCTTGAGGAGGTGGTATCTGATTTACATATGGCACCAGAGATTGGCTGGATATGTGTGTCATTTGCATACACTAAAAGCAGCTGGCTGCCCACCCTAATCTTTTATTATGCAGATGGTTCTCTACCTGTCTGGGGCCATGTTGTCTGTTTTTCTACTGTAAGCATGGTGACAAAGAAGATGGAAGTTGGAGCCTCCATGTTGAACATACCTGGCTTCCAGGTAGCCCTTTTCTACTGGCACAGCTGCCAGCATTCACCCCTGCAAGCTTCCAGCTTGCTTGTCTATGTTGGTAGCTTGATTTTTCAGGCTGCTGTTTACTAGAAAAGTAATGATTTGGGGGCTGCTTTTTGTTAAAAGGGAAGCTCTGCAGAGGACTCTCTTACCCTCACTATCTGCCTAAATAATTTCTTTTTAGCTGCTGTATCACCAGGAGTACCCCTTCCATCTCCCCCTGTTGCTCCTAGATCTAATGCTGTCTCCACCCTGCTCTGCTGGAGCAGAGGGCCTGCTAAAAATTCATTTCCAACCCCAGTTCAGTGACTAATGATTCATCGTGCTGCTGCTCTGGAAGGACCGCACACTCTTACGGAGACCAGTATCTTAAGCTGCAGGGCCACCCTCTCTCAGCCAAATGGAGGCAAAATTGAGTGCTCAGGATCTAGGCCAGCAGGTCCCTGCCTTATTTAACCCAGCCGCCATTCAAGATGGGGTCACTCCGGTTCAAACACCTTTGACACAGATGTCCCAGGGTCCCTGCTCTCCAGGCTTTCTTCAGCAGCCTTGGCCAGACACCTAGTTTTCCAAACTCTAGCCCAGCAGCTTGGGGTTGGAGTAGGAGAGGCTTAAGCTCCTGGGGTGGTCCTGAGCTTTAGGTCTCAGCTCCAGCACTTACAGCCCTGTGATCATGAGCATTACTTGCCTCTCTGCCTCAGGTTCCTCATCTATGAAATGGGGATAACTATAGTGTCTCCTCCATAGGTTTAATAGGAGAATTAAGGATATCATAGAATCTAATGCACTGGTATTTGGGTTTGGGGTAGACTAGGGAGGCTGTTAGTAATAGCAACATGGTTATAATATTAACAATTCAGGCCGGGCGCGGTGGCTCAAGCCTGTAATCCCAGCACTTTGGGAGGCCGAAGCGGGTGGATCACAAGGTCAAGAGATCGAGACCATCCTGGTCAACATGGTGAAACCCCGTTTCTACTAAAAATACAAAAAATTAGCTGGGCATGGTGGCGCGTGCCTGTAGTCCCAGCTACTCAGGAGGCTGAGGCAGGAGAATTGCCTGAACCCAGGAGGCGGAGGTTGCGGTGAGCCAAGATCGCGCCATTGCACTCCAGCCTGGGTACAAGAGCGAAACTCCATCTCAAAAAAAAAAAATAAATAAATAAATAATAATAATAATATTAACAATTATATCTAACAATAGAACAGCAAAGATTATGATAACACCGCAATATGGTAATATTAGTAATCAGTACAATGGCAGCAGAATTTGGGGCATCATCTGTGCTTGGGTCCTTGTCCTCATGTTACCAGAAAGGGCCCCCGATCCAGACCCCAAGAGAAGTTTCTTGCATCTGACACAAGAAAGAATTTGGGGCAAGCCCACAGAATAAAGTGAAAGCAAGTTTATTAGAGAAGTAAAGAAACGAAAGAATGGCTGCTCTATCCTGGTATACTGTCTCATACTCACACTCGACTGAGAATGCTTATGGTTATTTCTTGATTATTTGCTAAACAAGGGGTGGACTGCTCATGAGTGTTCCAGGAAAGGGGCCAGCAGTTCCCGGAACTAAGGGTTCCTCCCTTTTTAGATGTAGGGCAACTTCCTGACGTTGCCATGGTATCTATAAACTGTCATGGCGCTGGTGGGAGTGTCTTTTAGTATGCTGATGCATTGTAATTAGCACATAATGAGCAATGAGGACAACCAGCGGTCACTTTGGTCGCCATCTTGGTTTTGGTGGGTTTTGACCGGCTTCTTTGCCACATCCTGCCTTATCAGCAGGGTCTTTGTGACCTGTATCTTGTGCCGACCTCCTGTCTCATTCTGTGACTTAGAATGCCTGACCTCCTGGGAATGCAGGCCAGCAGGTCTCAGCCTCATTTTACCCAGCCCCTATTCGAGATGAGGTCACTCTGGCTCAAACACCTGTGACACAGATGTCCCAGTGTCCCTGCTCCCCAGCCTTTCTTCAGCAGCCTTGGCCAGCCACCTAGTTTTCCAAACTCTAGCCCAGAAGTTTGGGGCTTGAGTGGAAGAGGCTTAAGCTCCAGAGGTGGGGTCAAGACAGGAGCCGGGAGGTGAAGACACTGACCAAGTCCTGCTCCTATCGAGACATGCCCCCTCCCCCTTCCTGGGGAAGCTGTGCCACAGGAGGCTGGGGCAGGAGGGATGAGCTTCCTGGGACCTGCCGAGACTCAAAGGACATTTTAAAACAGCAGAGTTTGTGAAAACAGCAGAATCTCACTCCCCATGCTTGCCCTCAGGACACTCACTGGAGCAGAACCATTGCTCAAAGTACAAGAAGTAGAAGCGAGTGTCCATGAACATGCTGGCTCTGCGTGAGACCTCCGCCAGTGTTTGGTTTCTAGAGCACAGCTGCGTCCCCAGGGCCTGGAGGCGTGGTTTTATCAGAAGAGAGTAAACCCACAGCAGAAGCAAGTCTTCCTACGCAGGATTTGGGGTCTGCTGCAGAGGCCTCGTAGCATGGAGGTCCCAACTATTGACACCAGTGTCCAGAGGCCGAATATGGTTCTTCCCTTACAGCCATGAGACCTTGGCCAGCATCACCTTCCAGAGCATGTCCTGTGGGCCAAGCCCTTACGGGTATTAACTCAGTCAGTCATCTCGCCAGCTTGAGGAGGGGGTGTCCTGTTACAATCAAGAGTACTTCACTACCTTCATCTGTAAATGGGGATAACAATAAAACTCAGGTCATGGGATGATGGAGAGGATGGAGCAAGTTACGATATGTGGAGTGTCATAACAGCTCCTGTCACAGAGAGAGCTCTGTATTAAGTATGAGCTATTTTTATTTTTTCAGAGGGAAAAAAGGTGTGAATTGACTAATATCTGTGATTGTTTCCAACAGCCTCCCCCAGAGCCTATGCTGGGGTGAGAGTTGAAATTCAACCTGACTCCCATGCATTAGAGGTTTCCCGAGTGTGGACTCAGGACCACCCACATCAGAGCCAGCCAATTGCAGCCCCCCTTACAGAACCAGCGTCTTGAGGCGGTGGGATAGGAATTTTAAGACCTCACCCCTGTTATGGACTCTGTATCTCCAATATCCTTACAGAAACATTGATGCAATTGAACCCCTCAGTGGGTAGATGAGAATCTGAGGGTGCAGGAACCTCAATGTGGACATGGTCCAGGTGATACAAGGCTTTTGGGGCAGAACCCCCAGTGCCCCTGGGGTGTTCTTGACCTCCCTAGCCTGGCTCCTCATTCCAGGAACCTTCCAGATGTCTTCCATCTCATTGCTGTCCTCCTCACCTTCACCCAAACCTTTGATTCACGGAGCTCTGTCGCCTTCTTTGGTTTCAGATGTTTCTGGTCCGCCGGGACAGCAGCTCGAAACACCTGATACTGTGTGTCCACTTTCCTCCCCTGAACGAGAGCTCGGCCGAGGTGCTCGAATACACCATTAAGGAAGAAAAGTCGAGTAAGTACCCGTCTTCTCGGTTTTTACCTTGACCACACGGCAGCAGCAGCAGCAGCAGAGAGGCTGCACCTTCTAACCACAGGCTCTCCTCCATGCGTTGATGGTGTTTAAAATTAGAAGGAGGAAAAGCTTTCAGTCGCTGAAGTTACTTGACCGGACTTGTTTTGAAGTCGGTTCGTCACTCCAATGTCAGCGTGAATTTCCGCTCGCTCTCGTCGCAGCTGGTTGGCTTTGTGTTCTCATGGCCGTGGTGAGGTTTCCTCTTGATAGCTCAGCACAGGGACGCTGGAGAAAGAGAAGAAAAGGAGATGACATGTCTGAACCCTTGGGTCCTAGTGTCAGCTCAGCACACACTCAATCCAGGATCCCAGACAAGTCACTGAATCTTTCTGAGCCTCAGTTTTGTGTCAAATGAACATAACAGTCACAGAGCTTTTGTGAGGGTCAAATGGACAAACACTTAGAAAGACACAAATCTAGGCCAGATTTGATGGCTCCTGCCTATAATCCCAACAGTTCAGAAGATGGAGGCAGGAGGATCCCTTGAGCCCAGGAATTGGAAACTGGCCTGGGCAATGTAGAAAGACCCCATCTCTACAAAAAGTAAAATAAATTAGCCAGGCATGGCAGCATGCGCCTGTGGTCCCAGCTACTTGGGAGGCTGAGGTAGGAGGATGGCTTCAGCCAGGGAGGGCAAGGCTGCAGTGAGCTATGATTGTGCCACTGCCCTCCATCCTGGGTGACAGAGGGAGATCTGTCTCAAAAAAAAAAAAAAAGACAAAAATCCTGTGTTTGCACAGTGCTGCTGGAAGTAGGCATGGGCCTCCGTGGGAAAATGTCTAGGGCGGGTTTATTCTGATAATGCAGTGTCACTGGGTTTGGGGCCTGTGGACTGCTGGGCTCCCATCTATGCCAGCTGCCTCCTCCTCGCATGGTGTAACCAGTCAGTGGGTGCTTCTACCCCTCTGCCCAGAGAGGCCTAATTTATCAAGACAGGAATTGTGACAGAGAAAGAATTTGATGCACACAGAGCCAGCGAAACAGGAGACAGAGTTTCATTATTCCTCACATCAGCCGCTCAGAAAATTTGGAGGCTAGAGCTTTTTTTTTAAGACAATTTGGCAGGTAGCGGGGAGAGGGAAAGGGAATGCTGATTGTTTGGGTCAGGGATGGAATCCAGGGAAGTTGAATCTCTCTTCTTGCACTGAGTCAGTTCCTGGGTGGGGGCCACAAGCCCAGATGAGCCAGTTTACTGGTCTGGGTAGCTGGCACCAGGTGATCCATAAGAAAGAATACAGACCTCAAACACCAATCTCAGGTTTTATAATAGTAGCATTATCTACAGGAACAATTAGGGACATTAGTGATCCTGTGGCCTCTGGCTACGTGACTCCTGAGCCATAATTTCTAATCTTTTTTTTTTTTGAGACAGAGTTTCACTCTTGTTGCCCAGGCTGGAGTGCAATGGTGCAATCTCAGCTCACTGCAACCTCTGCCTCCCAGGTTCAAGTGAGTCTCCTGCCTCAGCCTCCCAAGTAGCTGGGACTACAGGCATGCACCACCATGCCCAGCTAAGTATTTTTATTTAGTAGAGATGGTGTTTCACCATGTTGGTCAGGCTGGTCTCAAACTCCTGACCTCAAGTGGTCCACCTTCCTCGGCCTCCCAAAGTGCTGGGATTACAGATGTGAGCCACCATACCTGGTCCATAATTTCTAATCTCGTGGCTAATTTGTTAGTTTTATAAAGGTGGTCTGGTCCCCAGGCAAGGAGGAGGTTTGTTTTGGGGAGAGGCCGTTACCATCTTTGTTTCAAAGTTAAATAGTAAACTGAATTCCTCCAAAGTTAGTTCGGCCTATGCCCAGGACTGAACAAGGGCAGTTTGGAGGTTAAAAGCAAGATGGAATTGGTTGGGTCAGATCTCTTTCATTCTCATAATTTCTTCTTCATAATTTTTGCAAAGGTGGTTTCAATGGCTATGTGTATACATGCCAGGCATCCAGATCCAAAAAGCCTATTAGAAGAATCTATAGAATATTCCAAGCACTGGCTTACATTTCTTGTAAATGGATCCAGGGTGTTGAGGGAAGCTTTTTACCCCAGCTGGCAGCAGAGTGACAACAGTTAAGAAGACTCATTAAATATTCTCAAGTGTTTGTTTCTCAAGAAACATGTGTACCTGACACTGGGAAGATGCAAAGATGAAGAAGACAGAGTTCCTTGCCTCGGGGGCCTCCAGATCTGGTTGGAAGGAGGGGACATGCTGGCGTGGGAGACAGACGTCACTTGCTGTGCAGTGTAACAAAAGGTGATACTGCAAAGGGACCTCCGGCCGGGGGCACAGAGGATGCAGGTCACTGTGGGGAGGGTTCAGGAGGGTGTCTAAGAGGAGGAAGCACCCAGGCTGAGTCCTGAAGGTGAGTATAATAGTTCAGTTGAAGGTTAATCTTCTAGCCCTTAAAGTAGACTAGGAAGGGAATCCAGAAGCAGGTTGCTTTTCCTGCTGTAAGGAGGCCTTTCTGCAGAGCCCCAGAGCCCCACAGAATGGATAAAACACAACCCACGCATTCATGTGTGTTCAGCAGAGACTTATGGAGTGCCCCCTCCATGCCAGGCACTATGTACTGCCTCTCAGAGCTCACTTCAGGTGGAGGGAGGGGATGATAAGTAACCATCCAGGGTGACTGGCAGATGGAGAGGCATGCTATGGGGAACATGTGAGCGTAGATAATTAGCTAGCTGCCGCAAGAACCAGCATAATGGCTTAAACCCAGAAGCTGGTTTCCCACTCACAGGCAAGAATCCTGGCTAGTGGGGAAGGATCAGGGACCCCGATGGAAGAAGAGGCTCTGCCACCTTCAGCGTGCAGCCTCCAGTTTCCTAGGACTGACTCCAAGCCAGTAGACTGGAAGGGGGAAAGAGCATAGAGAAGAAGGCTTGTGGTTGGGTCTTCCTGCCAAGGCCTGGGAGTGGGTGTGTCACCTGTGCCCACATTCCATTGGCTAGAACTTGGCCACATGATCACAGCTAACTGCAAGGGAAACTGGGTCCAGCCATGTGCTCGGGAAAAGGAACAGCACCTGAAATTTGAACTGCTAGAAGCCAGATCCATGGGTCGTAAGGATAGGGAGTATGGGGTTGGGGCAAAGATTGTTCATTTATACAGCAAACTTGAATGACCCCTCTGTCCTGTGAAGTCCAGCAGGGAAGAAAGTGTGGGGTTCTCAAAGAAGGAGGAGAGTGGCCGTTTTCCCAGAACAAGTATTCGGCACCATCTGATGACAGCAGAAGAGGTAGGGCTGTTTGGGGCATCCACTGCTCTCCAAGAACCCAGGTCCCTTCTCATTTGGCCAGGGCCAGGCCTTCTTAGCAGGTGCCTCTGGGGCCACACAGCCCCTGGGTGTGCTAATGGTCTCCAGAGAGATAGGACTATCGCCTATCTATTAGCAGATAATAGAGGCCAGGAGGGTACAGACTTGTCGCTTAGTAAGACCAACCAGACTTTCAGGGACTCAGCTGCCACCTGCCAGTTACCTATAACTTTTAGAAACCCAAGAGCCAACTGTGCTCTTGAATTTCCACACCAACATTGGGAAAGTAGCTGACAGTGGAGGTTATGATGAGCTGAGCATGTTACCCGTTAGGAGCCTAAGCAGGGAGTGCTGTTTACATGAAGGGTGGCCAGGAAGGCTTCTTGGAGGAAAGGCACATCAGGCCGGACCAGCAGCCTGTCTGGAAGTTCTGCCGTCATCCTTTGCACCACACTCCTTCCCTACCTCCCCGCCCAGCCCCAGGGTCACCACTCCACTGTCTCTCCAACCCAGTGATACCCCTGGAAACCAGGACATCGTATCTGGTTTCATGTCTTATTTCCCATTAGACAACAATGAAAAACCAGAGCTGGATGGTAGTTAAAGCAGTAAAAACAGGATTTGCTCAGAACTATCGCAATAACAACAAAGAGATCTGGGTGTGTAACTGGACGCAACTCCGAATACAGCATGGGCAAGTGGGGGTTATAGCCAAGGAGCAGGATCAGGGGCAGTAGATGGAAAATCTCTAAGGGAAAACATTAAGAGTAGGGAGGATTCTGGTGAAACTGACCCAACAGAATTCTTGCTGGAGGCAGGCGGGGTGATCAGACAGCACCCCAGGGGATGGTGGAGGACGGGAAACTGATCAGATAGCCATAGCGATCAGATGTCAAAGATCAAAGGGGTGGGGTTCTAAACCAAAGAAGCAGGATTCTTGCTAAAACGATTTTAGGAGGTACAGATGGGCCTAGGAGAAGTTTCAGGAGCCTGACTAAACTTTGGTCAAGCAAAGAATTTTTTTAAGCCCAAGGGACAAATTGGGGCACTCAGAGACGGAGACAGCCAGCCTACTTCTATGGGTTCTTTCTTCCTCCCAGGGCCATGCGGCCAAATCTCACTTTCCATTTTTAAACTTTTAAAAATTCAGTGCTCAATTTGCTGAAAATACGATGAAAGCCAAAAATCTTTCATGTAACTTTCCATCATCGTTCTTGTACATTTACTATAAATACACAGATGTCATCCCTAAGTTTGTGTGTGTGATTTTGCTGTTTCTTTCCTTTCCTTTTCTTTTTTGAGATGGACGCTTGCTCTGTCACCTGGGCTGGAGTGCAGTGGTGTGATTGGTGTGATGGATGTGATCTTGGCTCACTGCAACCTCCGCCTCCTGGGTTCAAGCAATTCTCCAGCCTCAGCCTCCTGAGTAGCTGGGACTATTAGGTGTGCACCACTGCGTTCAGCTGAATTTTGTTTTTTAGTAGAAACCAGGTTTCACCATGTTGGCCAGGCTGGTCTCAAAGCCCTGACCTCAGTTGATCTGCCCACCTCGGCCTCCCAAATTGTCGGGATCACAGGGATGAGCCACTACACCTGGCCTGCTGCTTCCTTGTATCATTCCATTGTCGCCCAGACCTCATTCCCCTGAGGTCAGCCACTAGGGTGCAGCCAGACGGTTTAGAAAGCAGC